GTGTTCATATCACTACTACTATCTTAAAGCGCACGGTTTAAACCCGGCACTTATCAACTCGGGTACTTTTTCCATACAACTCCCAACTCGGTCACCATTACATAGTGTCATCACGTCGAAACATGGGCGAATTCCCTCGGATAACTTCAAAGTTGTGCAATAAAACGGAAAGTTCACATACGCTTCAGTTCCGTACAGTGCAAACTCACGCAGTTCATAATCATCCCCCCATTTTTCACTATTGTTTTGCGAAGCGTTCGCGAAACAATATTTGGGGCAATCGCGCACGCTCCGCGCACCGTGCCAACCGATCATCGGTTAGCCGGTCGTAACCTCCCATGTTGGGGACCCTAGGATGCTCCCGATAGCACTAGTGGTTTTTGTGGAGCATTCCACCACACACTGAATTCTCCGTCACTTCGACCACTACTCTGCATCATATTTTGTATGTCATAGTGGATGAGTTTGACAAATTCCGAATTCCTTGCGAATTTGAAATTCGCAAGGATGTTGACCAGGGCAGATCAATGATAATGGCTCCTTGCCTGCGTTGAGAAATGATTGCAGCCCTCAAGGATTTTGGGATCTGAGGGTAGGAAAATCTCCACTTCGTCAACAGCTACGACGTGCAATCGAACTGTATATTGTTGTGATCTTGTGACGCAATCGAAGCGGGTCGATTATCGAAACGCAGGATCGAGCCACGGGTTATTAAGTAAGGGTTACTTGAGTGGGAGACGTTATCCTCGACTGGGGAAGAGACTGCCGCGCATGGAGGTACCACCACGACGATCTGAGGAGTCGCCTCCATGGAGGTCCCATAACGACGATCTGAGCAGTGGCCTCCAATGGTGATCATTTTTGTCTTAACTTCCTCATTTTTTATAATTCGTCTCCTTGCCTAAGGTGCATAGGAGAGTCTAGGCCGCACAAGGTGGTTGTGCGGAATCTTGTTCATTCGTAGGAGGTTTTACGTGAAACAAGCGTGTTGACCGATGTTGACAGAGCAGAAAGACTCCGGAACGAGCTCTCCTAAGATATTTTCTTTGGGTAGCACCAGGATGTGATTGGACTCCGATAACGTTCGATTGTAAGCATCTCCCTGAAGGCTAGCTCATCATCTAACCCTGAGTGTTGATTGTCTCCAGTGGTGATTGGCTTGAGCAAGGAGACGTTACAACTCCCTCGGTTATAGAGCCCAATTGAACACATAATCAGATATTCGTCGTTTCCTCAGAATGGTAATCCTCCTTGGCATATCCGTGTTCGTCTTACTCTTCGCTGGCTGTGCATCAATCGATCATAGCAAGGTGAAAGTATCTGTTTACTACGAGACGTACTGTCCAGCGTCGATCGGTTTCATTGTGGGAGAACTCAAATCTGTCATGGATGAAGGGTCAATGACGAAGAACATAGACTTGAGTCTGGTTCCTTTCGGGAATGCTGCGTAAAGCGAGATCTTAGGTGTCTTCGTGGAAGGTACGTAACAGGTACGATCCGAGAACCAAGAAGTACACCTGTCAGCATGGTCCCCAAGAATGCGAAATAAATCTCATCCAAGGATGCATCATCGAAAAAGGAGGCGGCGATCAACTCCAAACTTTCAATGCTGTCTATCTGGAGGAAGAGGCTATTCTCAAGCACAATACCAGTGACTGGATAATTGAATGTACGTCTCAAGTCGATACTTGCTCCTTTCTGATGATGCTATGGTCAACAGTGTCTATCCATCATTGCTAACTCATCAACACTCGAGGTTTACCACCATCTCTCACCATCTCCCACCGTTGCTGGGGAGCTGCTACTTAGCCATAAGGCTCCTCAGTGACTGATCGTGTGTCCTTCCCTCAGCCATCAGCGGTCTTCCTTCTCGAGCTGAGGTCTTAGCCTGTATTGGCAGCCCTGAGTCCCTTGACATCGTCGCTGAGTTCGCTAAGGGTGAGCTGAGCTCTTCTCCAACATAATGCAAGCCTCTAGCTCAGAAACGGAAGACCTTCAACCCCCACATAGATACACTCCATGGGTGACTATCGATGGTGTGCCCCTCAAGGGTGATTTCAAATCGGCTCTATGCGCGTCTTTAGTGAAAAGGTGAGCGTTCAGTCGCCTTCTGTCACTCTTTACTGATGCCTTCTTGCAGGGGTAAGGGTTGTCCTTCAACCCCTGAGACAACTCCGACCCGGAAGTGCTACAGGAAGTAACACTTACGATTAATTTTCTTTCATTCAGTGGCCCAGGATATTTTCGAACAGATCGAGCCAACCAGTAACTGGTTACCAGTTGCATTGGGTAGCTGTATCCGATTTTCTAGATCGGGTTTCGAGTCGGGGAGTTTTAGACTTCCCTTCCACGGCTCGATGAGTTTCTCCCTCGTCACTAACTGATGAGGATTCGTTGTCAATTCCACGATGCGCGGTGGGAAAAAGTGTTTTCGCTTCACGTCGTCTATGAACTCTCCAAATAATTTCTGAACTCAGCTGTTTCAAAGATTCTGAGGTCTCTTGGAAGTACACGAACGTAATCATGATGATTGAATAGTCTTCAATTCAACTTGTCCAAATCTTGAAGGGCGTTGACAAGCGAATGTGTTTTCGACCTTGATGTACGGAGGGACGACTCTTCCTCTAGAGTAATATATGGAGAAGTCTCCTTCGGCAATGGAAACGGTCAAATTAGCAGCTTTCAGCGGTTGAAATTCAGCCCCACTGAAACCTGACATCGTGAGCACATAAGGGGTTCCTCTGATGCGAGCCACATCATGTGAGCCTCGAACTCGCTCAGTATCACGCTAATTCGTCGTACCATTCCAATCCGTATCCCAGACCAGGCCATCATCTGATGACGGGAATGCATTTTCCCAACTTCATAATTAGACTGCATCGTCAGGGCTCACCATACCCTACGGGCTTCTCTGGATGCGTCAGACCGTCCTCAATATTGCGTTTCATACTTGAACCATAAGTTAGCATCGGCGGTACACCATTCAAGAACAGAAGGGCTCGTCGATGATTCCACTATCCGAGAAGTTCTCGCCGAGAACCCTGAAGCTTGACTCTCTGCAAGTAGTCATACTAGTTCAAAACCTGTGCATACTCAATCTTCTTCTTAATGAGCAGCTCTTCACATTTGCTCTTCAACTCATTATCTGTGATATGTCGTAAAAGATGCACGTTCTCTATAGCAACACCGCATGCTTGGGCAATCTGCAAACCGACAGGACTTGTGGGAGTTGTCGACTGGTTCCCCACCATGATGACCATTACAGAACTCAAGGCAATGGTTAATGGAATGTACAGATTCCCTCTACAGTCACACTCATGAAATCATCAATTAGCCCCAAGCTCAAGCTAAGATTCCATAGTTGTGCACTCTGCACCACTACACCCGACAATCTTGGGAACCAAGACATGGGTCCCCGCCCACACACAGTCATTTTCGTACAGTGGACAGAGCTTGGCAACTCTAAGATTCGAAGG